CATTATTGCTAAAACAAATGCATAACATAAACCCCATGGCAATAAATCAAAAGAACATTATACAAGATAAAACCTTTAACAAAGATTTAAAATGTTGTACACACATTATCAAACTTCAAAAAATCAATGGACACAATCTTTTAATTTTAGTTTTATACAAAACATCCTTAAACTATGAAACCCATTTTGACTTTACCTAAAAGATAGAAGACAATATGCTATACAGTACAAAACACACAACAGTGATCATATTTATGCTCTTTAATATAGACAAAATGCGCATCATAAAAATAATTTTTAAAATAAAGTGTAGACACTTGCATACAATATCAAAAAGTAAAACTACGAAAAAGAAAGAAATTAAACATGGAAATACCTTGCCCAGTTTAAGAACGGACAGTGTAACACAATCAAGCAGGTCAGTGTAAAATCTGTTGAGCACTGGGTGATACAATTTATAGAGTCCTTACTGCTCAGCTAGATTTTTTGGAGTGATTTTTTTCAAAACACCAAAAAATAATTTTTCATCAGAAAATTCACTATGTTCCTAAGTAAGGGGTCACAACACTCTTTCAGTCATTGATTTCTCAATCAACTGATCATCCTAACTGTGGATGATTGAGTAGTAGCCACAAAATATTGTGTATACAGTGTTGGACCTTATTACTTTAAAGCTCAGAAAGTAAGGAATACCACCTCCTTTTAACCTTTGGTTGCATGAACTAGTGACTGTCTTAGTTTTGAAAATTGAACAGAACTCCACAGTATAATGCATATCTATTGTACTTCTAACACTGCTTGATAGCTCAGAAACCAAGGGGTTGTGACACTCTTTTGGTCAACAGTCTTTCAATACCTGACTATCCTAGCTTTTACCTTACAATTCTATTCATAATAGTTGGTAGGTTGACATTTGCATCTTAATCACAAATCAGAACTAGAAGCTTTTAGTCACAGCAACTCCTCATCTATCTCATTGTACACCATCAAACAATTATTTATCACTTCCTCTTTACTGTTGAACAGGTTGTGTTGATATGAAACAGTGTCTTTGGCTTCCCTTGACACATTGGTCTCCTCTATAAAATCCTGGTCAAACCAGTGTACCAAGGTCTCATCTGTGACACATGGATGTAGCTTACTGATGTATTTCCCTTCCTCATCTGTTCATTAATATTCTTTTCTTTCATTTTGCTGCCCTCAAAAGTTGGGCAAACTTGTGCATCAGCCATTATTAATCTTAGTTACTATATATGCTATTGGGGGCACTTCTCCTGGTGGTGGTGGCCAAACATCACGTTCATTTGGAGTGACATTTATTGTACAAACAGGTGCAGGTTCAGTGAACATCCTGTTGATCCCTATTCCATTACTTAGTATGCTATCTTTAGATATGAAAGATTTCCATCCCAGTCTTTCTATTGGGTTTAACAGACTTCGTAAGTACTTGCTTGGTAGTTTGTACTGCCTGTTCTTCTGAACTTGGGGTAATAAGGTGAAGTAGGTATCTTCGTTCAACCTAACACTTTACACAAATCATTGAAAAGTTACCCTCCCCATGTCCTTGTGGGTTTCTTCCAGTGCTCTAACTATGCTACCCACGTTTTTGCAAAAGCATCCACAATGGTCTGTGCTAGCATTTTGGTCAGTAGATCTACATCAGCCCACTTCATTGTTGAATACTCAACAATTCTGTTTGAGTTTACTCATCATTGGCCAGTTTTCCTCTTACTGGTGGCACACACCATATACAGCATTCACATTAGTTCTGGATATTTTGACTAGAAGAACTCCTGTTGGACGTTATTTTATTGTTGTGGACCCGTGCAATTCACTGTCAACAAATCATATTCTTGAAATGTTATCCAACATACTATTATTTCTTCTGGATTTTTAAAGCTCAGTGACAATTTCAGTGAAGTATAGTCTAGCAAAATGGAAAACTTTCTACCATACAAGTAGTGACAGAAGTGTTATAAAGACAACCACACCAAACAGTTTTTTTTTATTGTACAGTATCTGTGCTTGGGAGCTATGAGCACACAACTAATGTATATGTCAAATGTTCCACTCTGTCCTGCAACTGTGACTCTAGACTCTACTGTTAATGGCATCAGTATCCAAGAGAAACTCTCAGTCCTGACTAGGAAAGGCTATATCAGATTTTAAAAATGATATATATATATATATATAAGTTCTTC